TTCTTCTATTCGGTTCAGTTAATTTACTCAGTTAACTAATATCTTAAACAGATATCACAGATTATTTAGATGGAAAGCGTTAATGGTTTACTCATACATAGTTGGATACTGTTATCAAAGTGGAACTGGTGTTGAAAAGGACAAATATATGGCGTTCATTCATTACAAAAAATAAGCTGAAATGAAAAGTTCTAGTGCAAAATTGTTTTTAAAAATTTTTTTCACAACTGCAATATTTCAAAATAGCTCTTATCTACGTCTAATCCTAGTTCATTGATGCATAGACAAATAAAGATTATAGCTCTTACATAATAAACGTATCTTACTGTAAAAAAGTTTTGTAATGCCTAATTCGCTATACTGTATAAAAAAAAAAGGTAGATTTTTCGATTTACATGTTAATGCTGGCAGGATCACGTGCATTATCTGGCCGGCTTTAGTATCTTATATTTGTAACTTACATGGTGGCATGTAACTTACGATGTAAGTTACGATGTAAGTTACATTGTCAGGTAAGTTAACACAACCCTAATCGACATTATCTAGAAATCAAAGTCTTTTTTAATTCTGAATTTTTGCCTCTTTCTTACTTCAATACTACTACAATTTCCTCTTTTTTATTTAAAATAAAAAAATTTTCAACTAATTTAAATCTAAAAATCGTGAAAAAACCTTTTTACCTTGCAATATTCTTAATGCTCTTATTTTATATTATATTTTTTTCCTGTCCTGATATTACATCTATCATATTCAGGAAATTTTCCAGAAGATTAAGATTCCATTTTGTTGCATCAATAATGAAAAAAATACTTTTGTTGTATTTAATGTTCAAATTTAATCCGGTAGAACATAAAATCAATATTCGTAAAGAAATTGAGGAAATTTATTATTTTACGCATAGTGAGGATGTCGATGAATCAGTCCCTTCGACCATTGAAGACAATAAAGAAATTTCATTACTTGAATCATTTAATTACTACTTGAAGAAAGACCAAATTAATGATGAAAGTTTGGATATAGATGACTTAAAGATTACAAAATATTTAAACAAGATTATCGAGCTACGAAACACACTATATAGTGAGATTAATGATTTACAACGAAAAAATTTAGTTGATCTGTTCAATTATACACAGCATTTTATCAAGGAATTCAACGAACTCTTGAAAAAAAACGACCTTGATCACACTCTCCTGAAAAAAATGAGAACGACTGCAATTAATCTTGGATTATCTTATGTTCATCTAAGAAATGTAATTATTGGTGATGAGACCTTTGGAAAAGTGATTAATGAGAAAAATAAAAACTGGATAATAATCTTCATATTCTTTTTAAAAAATAAGTTTTGAGAATCTTTTTAAAAGAAAAACATTATCATTTTCAGAATTCGAATATACTGAAGTATTTATTTGTCGCGAAATCAAATTGGATAAATAATTGGCTTAATATTGCTCAATTTTGTTTAGCTTAAGGGACATGTACTTATCTTCTACAATATGCCTTTCGTTAAAGAGCAACTTAATATTGTGATCTGGCAGTTGAGTGGTCGGAGTTGTGACTAAAAATACATTGGCTTTCATATTTTTTGCATCGTCCAAAAATTTTTGAATTCATATAACTTCTTAATAGCGAGGTATTTTATAGATAGTTTTTTTTTTTTTTTTATTATTAACATATAGTTATTAACACCAAAAATTTTGCCAGTAAATTTTTGGCATTAATAACTATATATTTAATAATAATAAAAAAAAAAAAACTATCCATAAAATACCTCGTTATTAAGAAGTTATATAAATTCAAAAATTTTCTCGAGTGATGCAAACCATATGAGCACCACTGTATGTGGTAAGCTTTCTTTAGGAATACCATTCGTATTGGATTTTGCTATGAAATGACTTTTCAAAATGAGTTATTTTTATAGTATGTATTTATCTATCAAGAGCTCGGATTTGATAAGTCACGGGATTTTTCGTCGGTCTATTTTTTTTTACTTTAAAGCCATTATTTAAACCAATTTTATTTTATTAATTTATTATGATTAAATCATCCTTTGTTAATATTAAACATTTTATATTTGAGAGAATTAATTATAAAAATAAAATTTGTATTTATATTATAATAAAGATTTCTAATAGTCCTACGCATGCTGTATAGTTATTCTGATTACGTATATAAATTTTATATTAATTCCATATATTAAATATACTAACAGTATTAAGTCACATGATAAGAAAAAATGAATTAATCTCAATTGTTCTAATATTTCACGAAGACAAAATTTATTATTAAAAAAAAATTATATTTTTAATTTACGACTTCATATATTATACAAAAAAAATAAATTTGATATACGTACTTTATTATTATATTCAAAGCGCCTCTGCGCGATAATGCACTTTGATTCATATAAACAAGAAGATTATTCACGAGAATAAGTTATGCAGAAACGAAAATTGAACATAAAGAGCTATTTCAGCCCAGCTTAGTCGGCTGAGCCAGCCAATTAATATGATCGGCTGGCTAATAAAGATCACATGATTTAAATAAAAATTTCACGCATCCGCTTGTTTAGAATAAAACAAAAAAAAAACCAAAATTACAAAAACCAAATGTTGTTTTAACCAAAAGACAAATATCTTAAACAAATTAAAATTTTATGCGATTTTCATCAGAAAAGATTGTTAAACTTATAATTAGATTCTTCAAATAGTCAAGTTTTTATTTTAATTCATAACTAATTAATGCTGCACAATATTGTCAGACTTTCAGATCTCAAGAAATTTAATTGCAGGTATATAAAAATATATTAAGAAAACTAATGTATAAATTCTAAATCTATAGTCAGGTTTTCCATTTTTTCTTTAAGTTTATGAACATGGGATTCAATTGTTCCTCTTTCAGCTGTTACTTTTGTTAAATTCTTGCGTAATTTGTTGTATATTACACTCTTGAGTTCAAAAGTTACAATCTTTTTTTTTTCAGAATTTTGTAATATAACTGTAGCGGCACTTGCTTTTATTTGTTTTTCTGATTTTTTGAGAATATTTTTTTTATTAAATTTGAAGCTTGCAGTTATGTCTCCCCTAATTAAAATACTAGAGATAAATCCATTTTTATCTCTATATATACGGGGGAGGACAGTTTTATCTTTAGGCATTTTTAGTAAAGTTATAATATTGTATGAAAATTGAATCTTAGAGCTATAAGATTGTATGAAAATGAATCTTGAAATGTAAAGGGTTTAATTTAAAAATATACTGATGATAAAAAGGGCTCTTTATATAAGATTGAACGGCTTATAATATAAAATTAATAATTTTCTTATATATTGGGATCGTCAAAAGAGTGGGACATATACCCACTGTAAAAAAAAATATATGCACCGAAAACTGGAATTGAGAATTTTTTATATAAGAATTATATAAATTGATATTATTTTATAAAATATATAATCGGTACTATTTGAACTATCGTGAAATATAATTACACTAGTACTTTTATTATAAAATTGCACTTAATTTGTCAAAATAATTTAATTTTTTTTAGACGATATATATTACGTTATTAATTCCATCACATAAGTTATCTTTTAATTATAAAAACCGGGTTTATAAATATATTATTATATTATATAACTATATACTTTTGTTACAGTATTAAGTCACATGATAACAAAAGATGAATTAACTTCAATTGTTCTGCCGAATTTATTATTAATTCACGATTTAATATTATACAAAAAATAAATCCGGTATACTTTATTTATATTGCATTGTAACACAAAGAACAAAGCACGTTCCAATACGCGTACTAAGCCTCAAAAAAATGCTGCGTGATAATGCACATATGCGAAAAATTAGGATTTGAGAAAAATGTAAAAAAATTTCTTTTGAATAAACAAGTTTTTCTTTTATAATTTCTATTTAATTGCATTGCAGGAAATACAGAAAAAGAACAAAGCGTGTTCTAATACGCGTACTAAGCCTAGCCTCAAAATGCTAAAAAAATTAGGATTTTGGGAAAATGTAAAAAATTTTTTTTTCTTTGAATAAACAAGTTTTTTTTTATAATTCACATTTAATCGCATTGTAGGAAAAATACATAATCATTATTATGTAATAACAAAGAACAACAAAACGCGTTCCAATACGTGCTAAGCCCCAAAATAATGTACTGTTCATTTGCAAAAATCAGGTCTCGAGTAAATGTAAAAAATTCCTCTTTTTTTTTTTTTTTTTTTTTGAATCATTAATTATTAAAAGAATATTATGCATGAGAATAATTATGCAGTGATTTAAAAATTAATTTATTTAAAATCGATTGAAACACCTTTAAGCTTGCGAAATCGCATTTTTTTAAAAATAAATTTGTAAAATGGATTTCTTCAATATCTTTTTTCCTACAATGTTTTTATTTATTTGTTATTCTACCATTGATTTGTTTATCTATTTGTCCCAAACTGAAACCACTCAAGAAGTATTCACTGAGTATCTGATCGATGAAGATGAATTTATTCATGTAATATACGATGACGAAACATTAGAAAATGAGAATCACACAGCGAATGACGATGTCAATACATTTCAAAAACAATCTGCCTATACAAAAGAAGAAGTACTTAAAATAAAAACTTACAATAAGAATATTCTCAAAAAAAAATATGCTCAAAAAATTCAAAAAAAAAGAGCCGGATACCGTTTCAAAGATGAGTCTAAAAATGAATTAAAAAAAAATATCAACAATGCCCAACAAAATGCAAATGCACTATTCATGGAAATAATAAATGAAAAAAATGAACGAATCAGAAATGGAAATTTTGTTAATACAACACTTTCAAGTTATAACGTAAAGAATCGAAGTTTAACGGAAAGAAGGCTTTTGGCAGATTTAGAGATAAACAGACTTTTAAATAAATTGGGTTTTATTGATCCATCTTTAGCCAACATATGGTGTCAATTCTTTAACAA